CATGTGCTGTCCACCTCGCGGTTTGCGCCATCCTGAAGGAGGCACGGAGAACAACACTCGTCTCGGTAGACGGTGTTACCGCATGCGTAGCACATGACCTAGCCATCGCAGTCGATGATGCTGGATGTTTTCCCGGATTGAACTGCCTGCAGCACAACCAAATGCCCGTTTTCTAATCACCTCGTTACTAACACGCTGACGCCATTCACAACCAGCCACACTTCTGAGGCATCGGTGGTCGAAAACCTGAAGACGTCTCACATAATCTACCCGAAGAGGCCATGCCTCGCACCCATACAACAACACAGCCCTTACTGTAGCCTGCTACACACGACCCTTAAGATCCAGTGAGATGCCTTTTTGACGCCACAAGTGACGCAAATTGGCAAACGTGATTCGAGTCTTTGAGATTGTTGCACTGACTTCATCAGACATACTTCCGTCAGAGCTAATACAACTACCGAGGTATGTAAAATTTTTCACAATTTACAGTGGTTCTCCTTGAATTGTAAGGGATATGTTCGCAGATGGCACGTTCTGAAGCAGGACTTTGCACTTCGAAGGTGCAAGGCGCATGCCAAATGATGGTATGATGGCGGTCAGTTTATTCAACAGGGCTTGTGCTTCGCTGTGGTCTTCAAAGATGAGGGCGATGTCATCTGCGTACTCCAGATCGACAAGGTTCTCGCCAGCAACAATTTGAACACTGGGGTTTTGAAAACCATCCAGTGTTCGCCTCATTATTTCATCGATGACGAAGTTGAACAAGAATGGGGAGAGTGGACATCCTTGTCTGACACCACTTTTTGTAGCGAAGCTTTTGGAGAGCTCACCATACACCCTCACCCGCCCAGAAGTATGTGAATATAGAGATCGGATCATGTTTACAAACGTCTGGGGCATACACCGTTGAGCAAGTATAGTTAACAGAACTGATCGGTCAACAGAATCGAACGCACCCTTGAAGTCAAGTAATACCAGGATTGTGGGTCGTCTGTACATGTGGCGTTGCTCTAACATCTGACAGAGTGTGAAGATGTGGTCAACGCAGCCTCTACCCGGTCGAAATCCCACTTGATTCTCACGAGTCAAGACTTCGCGTGCCGCCATGAGACGACGAAGAATCAATGACGCCAGAAGCCTTGCCACAACCTGGGCTGCAGGAGTCGGTCGAAGCATATAATAGAATTAATGCTTCTGGCATGGTAAAAGCATGCTATCTGTCTAGAGGTACGACGCACCCATCAAGGCCACAAGCAGTTGCTGAACGCTAATATTTTGTACGTAGCCAGGCTATAGCCAGAATGAAAAATAACCACTGCCCCTGTGTTCTCGAACCCGAACGTCACACCAGAAGTGGGTTATTTCGGAAGAAAATCGTTGTGTGCGACCACCAAATCTATGCCCACTCAATACGCACCTCCTGCAATGCCTGCGGTAGCACTCAAATTTTCATGTTCCACGGTTTTCATTGATCTAAGGTCTGTTACACTACACCGTTAGACACTTAATTTGCGCAATAGAGATTGGATCCGAGAGTCAGCTGTTCGGAACGTAAGTATTAACCCCGTTTGCACAGTTTGAACGTTCACTTAACACTAGCATTTCCATAACAGCTTGTCTGCACACAAACCACTTCATTCTGAAGTGGTTAAAACGTCACAAATTCAGTATTGATATTTTCGCCCTCGTATTGACCAATAAACAAAGGCGAGAGTGGATTTGTAGTTTACGCCTGTAAACACAAGGTGTTTGGACACGAGAAACCAGTGTCTTTTACCACGATACCACATTAAGACATAACTTTAACGATTGGAACGCTCAGAGGTGATCAAGTGCCCCAGCATTGAGCATAGACAGATCCGGTCGTGGTTACATGAGAGCTTAACGGTACGGTTCGAGGGGGCGGAGACTCCTCAACGGTCCTGAAGAGGCGTTAGAAACACATCACTTATCCCCAACAATTTCGGCTCCATTTAACGAATCATTCGGAAATCAACCTTTCTATCCTTTAACGCTAAGTGATAACTGCAAGAAACTCTCAGCCGTAGCACCCTTCCGGTGCATAGATACCATGCCACCCGAGTGAAACACGAGGGATGAGAAACTGCCAGATCGCCCAAGACTAAGTAGGACCAGTCCAGATACAGAGGGTGGGTTTGAACCAGGACTTTCAGGTCAGCAAGTTCGCACCTTAACTACTGAGTTATCTCAAGATCTACTTCCTATCAACATTCATCGAGAGTTGCACCACTTTGCTGTTATCTGGTATGAAATATGCGGCGGCCGCCTTTCAACGGATGATGGATACTATACTATGTAATATGAAGTATAAGAAGGCCTAAACGAATTATATTGTCATTATCGTCGCATAATCCAACCTCCTATTAATGAGCATGGATTGAAAACTCGGATTGATGAATAATAGACAACCGTTCAGCTGTAACACTGCTTCCAGCCCTTGAATGAAGCACGAGGACTGAGATACTTCCGAGTTGCTCAAGCCTAAACAGGAGCAGTTGGGTTCGAACCACAATCCTTATGATCAGTAAATTTGCGCCCTAACCACTGAGCTGTCTCGAGCTCGGGGATCATGGATGCAAACTAGTAAAAATACTTTTGATTAGGTTGATGACTGGTCATCATCATCATCATCATTGTTAGCTGTAATAACCGCGTACTCGTCGTACAGTGGTTGTAGCTGCCGCAGTTTCGTTCACGATGTCTGTTTTTGGGGGGGATAGGTACAGTAGGCTGTCAAGTGGGGGGGGGGGTTGGAAAAGGAGCTATGCTTTGAAGGCAATAGCTTGGATGCATGAGCGCCATTGAGAGTGCGACTGGGCCATATCTGACAATGTCTCTAGCCATTGATGTGGCCCGTCTCGGGGTCCCCATTCAGGAAGACGGCAGTGACCAGCGTAGCTGAGTTTGCTGGTAATGGCTTTCATACTTCGCTGCCAAGTCATTGGTTGACCGCCTCTGGCTCTCTTCCACCCTTCACGTGGTTGTGCGAAAAGAGCCCTTCGAGGAAGTCGGTCGACGGGCATACGCAACACGTGGCCAAGCCAGCGCAACCTGTGCAGTATGATCAGTTCATCTATCGGGGGTGAGTTATTTCTCCCGAATACCATTCGACATACTTCAGAATTGCTAATCCGGTGTTCCCACCAGATTCGGGCAATGCTCTGAAGACATCGATGGTCAAACACTGAAAGTCTTTTGACGTCCTCGGCGCGCAGCGGCCAGGTTTCTGATCCATATAGTAATATGGAGCGCACCGCAGCATTGTAAACTCGACCCTTGACAGAGAAACTGATGTCACGCCTACGATGACTGGTGGAAGAACGTTGCAGTAAGGCCAAAGTTTCTCAAGCAATGTGGCGAAATGATAGTACCCCGGATAAGCTCATCGTACGGTGACCAGGTCTCAGTTGGTCTGTTAACTTGAGCTTGGCGGCTGGCATGCGAACGTTCCGTCATCAACCAACCGCGCGTACATACGCACAGGCAATGTGACAACGGTAAATAAAAATCACACAACTGGTGCACCGTATGTACCCAGGAGCAGGGCAAGACCATGGGTGAGATGGTCAAAATATCCACACACCTACACGCACAGAATCAACTGAGGGAGCGGTCAATGTGATACCGTAAAATACCCATGCCAGACCAAGTAGTTTACAGATAAAAGTCAATTGTATTCCATCTGACTCAAATGCAAAGCGCAGAAAGTTTTGTTCTGAACGCGAATACAGCGTTTGGTGCGTCAACGGAAATTGAGTATATGCATTGGAAACGGGCAGTACATGACAGATTACCGGAAATGAAAAGATGCGTGGTTTCCTGACAGGCACGTACAATCAGCGCGACGAATGCATCGTGTGTTATAGCGTAAGTCGATTGCACAAGTAAAAAGCATAACAATGAAAAGATCCACGGAGTTTTGATTCTGATTACGCTACAATATCGGGACGTCTGACGATTCAGTTTTCATAATGACCTCACAAGTGGACAAAAGTTACGTCACAGAACTAACATAAACCAGCAGTATCGATCAGAGCTAACTCAAATGCTCTCTGTGGTGACCCAACACAATATTATCAAAGAGACTGTGGATAAGGCATGATAATCTGTAAGACTAACGCTCACGTCGATCCCATATACGATCAAACAGTCACTGGATGTCGCCAAGATCATTAATCTTAGTACCATACGGACTGAACAAAAATGAATGAGGAGACTCGACAACAATCCCAATTCTCGAAAAAAAACATGAGGATCGTGCAAAGTCCGTCACAGGCTAAATGTCGGTAACTGAACAGTTCGAAAGATATCCACAAAAATAACTTGGGCTTCACCCATGCATTGATTACACCTTTACTTTCTGAAATAATCTGGAACAATGACAATACTTCTAGTAAACAACATTGATCATCTCCCTTTATTTAAAGGATGCTTTTATCCCCGTTAACCGTCGAGCATTATGTCTGGATATCACATCATCATGCACCACATCAGATGAAAACAGCGGCCCTTCAAATCCACACAACCGCGCCAATTCATTTGAACAAAGCCTTTTGATGGGAAGAGAAAAATACGGCGGGTAGAGGGGCCTAGGTCCTCTACCCCCCGTCTATCACAAACATCCGAGGTGCCTACAACTCCAGCGCTGTCAGGGATTGCTTAGAAAACACCTTTGAAGGACTGTGCGCCAATTCCTACGAATGTGTGGGAATTTATTTCAAGCCTCCACCTGCGTTCACCACATTTAGTGGTGTTAGGTAGACTGCCCTGTGTTGGTTTCTCAACAGCTCTGCCATGGAAGACTCCCTCCTAGTATCTGACTCCTGTGTTGTTGGAACGTTCCTAAGTCATTTGCTTATGGATACCGTTTACGTAGACGACGTAGCTATTCTTGGATGAAGTCCTATCAGAATGAAAACGTCGTAAACAATCTAAATAATTACGCCTCGAAGTCAAGTACATGTGGTACACTACCAAAGTGCTGCTACAAAAGTGAGTTAGATAAAAGAAACGTCATGAGTGCAGTTGGATCGACCGGGATGGTAGAGAAATTTATTTACTTGAGTCTGTATTAGTCACAGTAGGCAAGTGAAATGTGATTAAGTCGTCCTAATGAGGGACCCAGAGCAGTCTGGAACCACCCGCAACATCTGTGACGGAGGTATGAACTCGGATTGATTATCGAATGTGGAGTTCACAACAACGGGATCTATGTTGCTGTACGGGTCAGAAGCCTAGCCAGTATAAGATGAGAATTTCAATGTCTGGCCATTGTTGTATTCGGAACATTGCCTGAATTTAGTGAGAACATCGGATCAGTGGGGCTGAAGTGGATCAAAAGGTTTCCAGAGGAAACCATGAACACGCGATTGGTGCGCTGCTGACAGGTTATGTGCCCAGTAAATCAGCGGATCAAGCTCCTGGAAGAGTAGCCTCCACAGAGAGATTCAATGAAAGCGTGAAAGCCAGTGCCAGAAAGCCCAGCTATGTTGGCAATTAATGTCTGTAGCTGGAGACCCAGAGAGGAAACATATCGATGATTACCGATGTCGAGAGACAGCGCAGTGAAGTGCTAAGCGACACCCATTTATCCAAGCTACTGCTTAATTTTCTTTCTTAGTAGACAGTGAACCCATTACCGACTGCGAATTTACTCAACAACGACAGCAGTTACTGACTTTATTGTGTGACTATCCTCCTCTCCCTCACACCGCCGGATTTTCCAGATAATCAACAAATGAATAGTAAATGCCGCCAAAAACACGTGAGACTATAGATGGTGCCAATATAACGAGAATCCAAAATGGTATCCTCATACATAATACTGGGTTGCGGTCCACTACCATGGAAGTGTCCAATTAGGTTTGGGACCATTACACCGCTATTAAGCCCAAGCCATAACAGGATTGTGGTCGCAGCGACTACGGTCCAAACTACCTGTGAGGGATATAATCAGACTGTGCCCAGTTAGCTGAGTCGGATTAACAGCCCTACTTATGTTGTCACAACGTGCAAGATAGAGTGATACCTGAAAGCATGTTAATCCACGCCTGGCGCGGCAGATATTAAAATAAAATGGTCCTCTTTTACGGATAAAATAGAAAAAAACTCATGTGAAATACTAGATAGTCTAAACGGCGCATCCACAAGGTCAGGAGTAAACGGTCCCCTTCTTGAATCCAGTTATTATGGGTTGCCTTCGGCGCATCGATTAAAAAAACAAGAAACCTCAGATGTCACCTAAGCACGTAAGCATGATGCTATCCCAGTAAGCCACACCGTTGGTGGCTTACACCCCAGGAGATTCGGTATTGAGGTAAAGTTGAATTCACTTAGTTATGACATCAAGATTAGTCACGGAGAAAAATGGGCGAAATGTCAATAGTGGTAGGAAAGAAAAATTACTTGCCATTGTGGCCAACTGCTGGAAGATTTCGCCTAGTTCCACAATTGTGTGTTCTATGCTGCGCATCGTATCGGCTCTGGATGCCAGATAAGTGTCGGTCTGATCCACAAGGGAAAGTTGTTGTGCCAATTTGGCTTGTACTTCCGGGTTTGGGCCCCCGTTTAAAAGAGATCCGTGTCCATTCAACGCCTGTTCACGGGCACGCTCATCGTCCTGGGGACACCGTAAAATATGGCAAATGAAAGGATGTTAAAAGCAAGTTGATTGCGAGACTCCCGGGTCAGCGCATAGCAAACCGGCAGTCGCGAAGAAAAAACGGGTGTGACGGAGGTGTAGCAGATGACACAAACATGAAATTTGGATCTCGAGATCATGAGTCCAGCGAGGCTGTAAAAATCCAGTTGATGTACCCATGGATAATGAACCGCATCGCAAGAAATTTGTTAAGTTTCAAAACTCTAAAGGTCTGAAAACAGCTGCTTAGAACAAGGCTTCAGTCTATCAGTCCTTATTCAGCACATGCAAATCACATGTAGTCATCATTGAAGCCATCATCTTGAATACACTGCAGTAAACTACGTTTCCCGCGCGCTCACATGTGAAGAAATATCCCATGGGGATGCTCCTACAGGAGCCGAAGGTGAGGTAGATACAAGTCCAAGACGATTCCGGACATTCAGACAGCTTTTGAAAAAACGAATCAGAGGGAAAGAATAGTCTTAGAACATGGAGGTGCTCCTTCGTATATTGGAGCACGGACGTTCCTAGTGGGATTAGGAGTTAAGCTATCCAACCCAACCAGTTCCACTAATTCGTGAACTCATATTTCGTTGCCAGATTATAAACTGTTCAACTGTGTTCAGTTTCATGCCAATAGGTGTGAGGTAGGCGGTCTTTTGAAGTATGAATCGGATAACCTAACCAGCGTAGTCGACGTAGGATGTGTGGCTCCATCTATCGCAAGTTTCTTCCAAAAGTCATTTGGTCAACCAACTCAATGTTCCAAAAGGTCCGACGGATGGCCCGGAGACACTGACAGTCAAATACAAAAGCATCTGCATAGCCTGATGGCGAATACTCGCTTTCGGTGGGATAAAGTAAGAAACCCTAATGCCCCGCAGGAAAGATTCTGACCCCTTGTTGGAGACTGGACATAACATGGCACTTTTGAGCTTCAGATGTAATTGGGGCGTGTCAAAAAAAAAGTGACTTTCGAAGTAACTGTAGATAGCACATGTCGAACGCAACAAAAAATCGATTGTAGCGTCCACATAAAGCCGATTTCCTTATATTCGAATCGGATTTGTTCCCTTGTGAACAGGTACAATGACAAAGTGCTAATTAGAGCTCGGTAGGAGCGACACATCATGCACTGAGAACACGTTATATAATAGTAGGAAATCTGCAAATACAATCCTAAGACACGCGGAAACCTACAAATATACAGGGAAGGATTACACATACAGAGTGGATACATGAAACAGTGACAACAATGACTCATAAAAGCAGTGGAATGCATCTGAACAACCCAGAAGGACAGTGGCATTCGAAATCCTCTTGAGATTCAGACTGTAATGTTTCCGAATTGACCGCCGATCTCGGTTATCTTCCTCCGAACCCAGTGTGCACATAGATCGTAACAAGTCAACAGACAACCCAGTAGATGCTAACCAAAAGTCACGTGATTCACTTACCACCTGTGTTCCGAGTGTCGTGCCAACGTAGTATTGACTTGCATCGATAGCCTAAGAGCATTACACACAACCTCTTGAAATGCCACCCACCGCTCGAAAACAGAAGTTCAGCCGGTGAAATCCCCAAGGTGGGACGAAACGAATGTAAATGAGTAAAGGATATGAGACTGAAGCAGACCCACCAGCTTTCTAGACTATTTAGTAGTGGGTAATAAACGGGTGCTTACGGTTCGAGTCTGTCGAGTGATTTTCGCTGACAAACATCTTTCCTGGCAGACATCATAATTATACATTATAAGGGGGAAAATCGAAACCTGGTCACTCCTGTTCACTTTTGGGAACAGAAGTTAACATTTAAAACTTTCAGCAAAAGCGCACAGATTTAGCTCCTAAAATAATCGACAAAACTGAGACTGACGCACTAACTGACTGCGCTACTAGGGGGACGAGATGGCCAAGGTGGTTAGAGCGCGAATTAACTGACTGGAAGGCCCGTGGTTCGAACCCGACCTCTGCCACCCAACTTCCCCTGTCTAAGCTTGGGCAACCTGGCAGTGTCGCAGCCCTCGTGCTTTCTTCTGGTGGCATGGCAGCTAGGCACCGAAAGGGTGCTACAGCTGAACGAGTCGACAAAACTCATAACCATCTTAACTCTAGAGAAAAACTTGATTTCGGCCGCAGAACAAAATTTCTTAAAACAGTGTATCTGTCTCCGAGACACATCATTATTGCACTGATGGAGTGATAAAATCAGATACATGCGGCTACGGTGAATTGACTCTCAAACGTTCTGATGACATTACAATCCTGACAAGTTAACAGTAAATAACTCAGCTTCATAGGCGCCAGACTGGATATTCGTTGTTCATATTCGCAATGGGGGACATCAATCGCTAAGGGTATGTCAAGGTTGAGCATAGAAATTTTGTTGCAGATATTTTGTAACGTGTGACACGATTGAGAATGCGTGATTTTTTGTGCAACTATTGGTGAACTGTTTTGATTGGCTCACAGGGCTTCCACTCATGAGGTTTTACTCGTTTACCATTTACGAAGGGAGAGACGGCTCAAGTGGTTAGAGCGCGAATTTACTGACCGGAAGGTCCGTGGTTCGAACTCGACCTCTACATCTCGACTTCCCCTGTCTAGGCTTGGGTAACCTGGCAGTGTCGCAGCCCTCGTGCTTCCTTCGGGTGGCACGGCAGCTAGGCACCGGAAGGGTGTTGCAGCTGGACGATTTTTTTTTGTCATTTACAGAAAAGGCTGTGAAGCCTCCTACTCTGGGAGCACCAGTCCCACGGTGATCCCACCCTGTACTCACTACAAATGATGTATGGATATAATGATGGCAATAGCAATGATGATAGCAATAATAGTACTGAGCTGTAACAGTCAATGTATAAATATACTTAGACAGACTCGATAGGTAAGCACCAAAATGGGTGTCCTTAAGTTGTAGAGTTCATAGGTTGTGCACTCTCGCGGCTGAGGAAGCCCTATTCACAACAAACCACGTATACACGCTCACAACTCAATGCACCACACCATTTTCAGCTTGCCCGCCCGACAATGCGCTTATAGTTTCGTGATAATTAAGGTTGAAACTATAAATGGAAACGACGAACCGATGCATAGGCGTGAGCGGTAGTGCCTGGGTTTACATAGATTTTGTTCGTCGGTGTGTGACCTCTCATTATAGTTATTCGCGTTGATAGTCCATTCTTTCAGTTGGCTCGAGCTCCCATTGGTCGAGATCCAGATAACATTTGGGGTCGACCACTGCGACTGTCATCCAGTGACCCTTGCTCTGTTGGTTCCAGGCTGATGTCACCTGAGCGGTTCGTCCCATGGGCGGCTAGGTGGACTGTCTAGTTGAGTTGTTGGTCCTTCACTCGCACGGACACATCAACTGGTTCAGCACAACATGGTGGTTCATTAAATTTGTCGTGGAGTTTTCTTTCTTTGTTTTGTAGTTGCACGCGTTAGGTGATTTGCAATTACCAAGTTGAATCATTGACGTAGGGTCTCCAAGTACGAAGGTTCTCTTTACGACCACCTTAAAATCTTTCCTGTACGTCCAACGTTGCAGCAAACGTAGTTTACCAGAAAGACAACGTTACTACGGACGAATTCTAAAGGTGGAACCCAGGTACTGAGCTACTAAGCTTAAATGAAGCTGTATAACCTCGTTGGTTCAGGCAAGATGTCGATGAACGGGAGGATTATCCTAAGGTTGACGGAAACTCGGGGACTGCGCCTACCTGATAAGCCCCAAAAAGGGCGAAACCGGTCGTGGGCTGTCGAAGAGTTTTCAGCAACCTTGTGAGTAGTCTCCTTCATGAAAATATACTGCGATATTTCGAATATCGTACCAACTGAATCATGAGGCGGCCTGTGTGCAGCACATTCAATTGTAGAATATCATAAATGAGAGATTCAGTTGAGTCTCTCGTGAAAACCAAATTGATTTGCAAATGAGTGTATTTGTCGAATGTACAACTATTTGCCTGTTCTTGTTCTTCTTGCTGCTACTGTCAAGGTGTCCTCGTCATCGACCTGATAAACTTTCCGGGATATCTGTCGTTTTTTTGGAGCGTCTTCTTGTCCCCTCAAATCGACTGTGTTGTCCATGTCTGTTCTCTTTTGAATATGCATTAGATGGCTCTTAGAATAGATGTTTCGACAGTTCCATGGTTAGTCCCTATATTTTTCATGACAAGTTTCGAGTGTCCCCTTGTCACTACGTCCGGAAATAATAACCTCATATTCTCCTCCAGAACAGCTGTAAATTTTGCTATCCCCAAATGCGTTGTCTGCCACATTGTGAGTATCTTACGCTGGGTTTTGTTCAACAAAGATAAAAGTACCGGCCATGTAGCGAAGCTAAAATTTGAAACTGATAAGTGATGATGCATTTCCTCTGTTATGGCTTTGACAATGAATCCTGATAAAAGAGCTCCTTCTTCTAATGGCGCACGTGTCCCAAGACTAAAAAATGTGAGTACTATACAGTTTGATTGTTTCTGTTGAGTTACGTTGAATTTGTGTACAACGATGCGGTCTCCCTTTCCGACAGCAGGTTCTTTGTCGAACTGTTAGAGCCAGATTACTTACAGGTTTTGAAGGTCAGCTTTGTTTATCAAGACTGAGAACACAAAAATCGTTCAGTCCCACTGACGAAATGACTGGATTAACTGAGTAGTCTAACAGACGGGTCTGCCGTTCGTGTTTGGTCACTGGGACCACGGTTCAAGTTTAAAGGAATACAACCGCAAATAGTAAATAAAATGTTGAAACTCATTACAACCTATCTACTGGAATCCTGGATCAATCATTTACACGGTAAAATACGCCAGCAAATAGATTCAGACTGTAACTAGTGACCGGTGCAATAAATGCAAATAGGTTGCTGCATCAGTTTTCCGGTTACAATGTAGACCAGTTAGTTTAATAGCAACTCGGGTGCTTATCCATGCGGTCTGAAGAAAAAAACTACTATTGAAACCGCAGCAGATTAGTTCGAGGAGAAAAGAGAATAACGTGATTACATTCAAACCCTGAAGCTCAGGAATGAATATACCCGCATATCAGACACTTTTCAGAGCATCCATACCTAGCAGCTGACCACCTAACCTGCTGTCTATCAGATAGCCACTGAAGAGGTGGAAATTGTAAAAAATCCCTACCATGGGAAATGTACAGACTAAAAGCGATTTGAATCGTATCGACATCCGCCTTGTCCTTACCTCACCGTTCTGACTCTGAACCGTGTCTGTTTATGCAGTTCGTACTATTCTGCGGTTAGCAAAACATGAAAGACCTCCAAGAAGGACCCGCCCAGAATATATAATAGTTCGTATTGATCAGTTTAACAGAAATAAAGATGTCATTCCCTGAAAGGACCAGAGCAAGGAAACAAATTAAGCCTCCCTTAAGGATAAGACTGAGAAACAATAAAACTTTCACGAAAAGCTTTGCTACCTTGGTGATGCACGATTCTTCCCAAATGTCTCATCTAAAAGCTTCTCAGGTTCCAGATAAATACATATGGACGCAGCTTTTCCGTGATTTGGAATACTTCTATCAGCCTCACTTCGTCATCGACTTCGCCAAACTGCTATCATTTGTCCTCAGTTTATGTAAGAATTCTTTAACACACGCATAAAGATCATCCTACTGTAATAAGGATTCCGGAAGAATACCTACGAAACGTTGCAAAATAATAAAGTTCAATGCCTGTAGGGCACATCCAGAAAAGGGCCTTTCTACTTTGCTGGAACGAACCGGAAGAGGCCTGATGGAACCGGTCGGGAACGAACAGCGTCGCGTGACCGAGCCTTCCAATATCCGCCCATACCGTTACTACGAAACGGCTGATTACAACGAAACCCAACCGTGCCGTTGATGGACCAAGTGGTTAGACTGCGAGTTCACTGATCGGAACGTCCGTGGGTTGAACCCGACATCTGCCTCTCGACTCCCCCTGTCTAGGCTTGGGCCACATGGCAGTATCCTAGCTACGTGCCTCCTTTGTGTGGTATGGAAGCTAGGCACCGAAAGATTGCTACAGCTGAACGACTATTTATCATTATTATAGTCGATTTTTAGGACAATTCTCCCGTCAGTTACACGTTGGTTTCTAGTCAGAGTTTATTCCACATACGACAACAAGACTAAGCCATCACATATATTTTACCTTGTGCGGTTTGACTACACATGGTATCAGCTTCATTTCTTCCGTATGGTCACAAAAGGCAGACAAGTAGCCCATTGATCATGTACCCGAACTTACGAGTTGCCAATGGTATGAGACCTTCAGCGTTTATATGATTTCGTTATAAAACGGGTGTAACTGATAGGTATTACGAAGTGATAAGAAAGTGTGACCGTACTGTTGGATGACAATGTGCTCATGACTTCCGATGTTTCGCTACAGTCCACTTTAAAGACTCACAGCCAATTCTGAAGCAGCACTATTTCATCCGAGCAAATCGCATATAAGTAGTCTTCAACCGATAGGTGAAAGACGCAACAAGGTAGACACTAAACCTAAACGAGGTCGGAGAGAGCAAAATACACAGTGTATGCAAAGCCTCGTATGCGGTTATCAGCCAAGTGCACATACCAAGCCGTCTAAAGTTGTACGTTAACCGGATTGTTATGACAATTATAAATCCATGCAAAACAACAAAACTTACCAGTGGAAACTACGAGGAATCATCAACTAAAGCACCTTCAAGAAACCAAACCCGATCGAAATGATGTTGAATCCTCCAACTCACCGACCGTAATATTTAGTCACCTACACTAAACAAAATGCGCTTTTAATCAACATTCAGCATTTATGTAGTATATTAGTCGGAAGAGATCTCGGTAACTAGTTTTCCGTGTGCCTTAAAACTAGGGCAAACTACTCACTTGGGCCGACGAAGCCCGTCGAAAGCCAAATTTTGCCCAACTATCAATCCGCCGATCGGTTACAAAACTCTACTGAAATAATGCCTCGCCTTCATTATAACCCTCCGCAGTGAAGCACACGTGACTGAATACCAGCCAAATGAACCCACAAAGATACGTAGAACAATGGTCTGGTTCAAACCTCACCCCATGTGTGGTTTTAGGGACCGACAATGGAGAACGCAAGGTCTGGCTACACGTCAGGCAAGCGAGGTTAACGGGTTTTCTGTTCTCTTGAAGGTATTTTAACTAAAACAGATCAGTGATCGGAGCTGAGGGATGATCTTCCAAGGATCTTCAAAAGCAGATCCAATGGACCAGCCCAAAGTGGTCTCTTCAAGAAAGCAACAACACGTGTCTAATTAAGGCACGAGGATTGGCTGTTGGGAAACTTACCCTTAGTAATATTGATGGTATGATGGTTGATTTTGACTGTGGATAACCATTGGTCAACAAAGTAGTATCATTTTCGTTCACATTTTGCAGAGCGGTATACTTTCCTCGACGAGCAGCTTGTGACCGAAGATTTTCCGACCGTTGTTCCAACATTCCTCGGAATTGAGTGGACATTTTCGCCAATCTTGTTTGTAAACCCATCAGGACGGATTTAGAGTGATTTGCCTGTTGTTTGCCCTTGGAATTCTGATAGAATTACAGGATATTAAGAAGACAAGGGAAACGGAAGATAACAATTAGTTTACCAGATTAGAATAGCATGCAAGTGTTAAATGCCCATGAGGGTATTGCCGACAACCGCTATGGTTACTGCTGCCATTTTACCGAGAGATAGGGAACTCGTGTAACACGATAGATCTCAGCTCCTAACTGACGGTACATTTAGCAGGTATTGAAAGTATGCGATTTGACCTCATAAATTAATGGGCGTACACAGACATTCGAGTTATTCCTAGACAGTGAGGTCTGGCGCTACCGAGATAAATCAATGTAGGTGACCTATAACAGTGAACGACCTGGTAGCTATGAGGCTACGGGGTTGGAAATTGGCAGGATACCATAATGAAGTATACGGTTGGTTCCCAAAGCGCAACAGCACGAAGCCCTCGGTCCTTATAGATTGAACCTTCTTCACGAGAAAGTCGTCAGAATTGACTAAGTCACCCAAATACAGGCATATTTATAACACACACATTACAACCTAGTGGTATAGTAACTACCGGCTCCCCCACCACAATATAGATAAAACAATTTAGTCATCCAGGTAATTCAATAACCGGTTGGAACAAACCTCGTGCCCCTTATGCTCAAAGGTTCGAGCTCTGTAGAAATTAGAAGGGGTTAGGACATTGTTCAATTTACCGACGTCTAGACAAAAACGGTAGAACAGAAGCAAATGTAAACATCGAAGGTGAAAGTAAGCTAAGAGCTCAGCATATCAGTTAAGACCGACGGTGATACCATGAACTTGCATGAACCACTGCCATCAAATATACTTGGGTCCAAGATATTTCGTGATATATTCGAAAACAAGGAACAAAATAGAGAGCTATGTCGTGACTTTAAATGAAAAAGTCAATGGTATCACAAAATATACGAAGCTGAAGGCTGCCACATAGATACGAGCATCGGTAACATCGTTACTGGCATCCAAATATTGTTGAGCATAGTGAATATCAGCTCAGGGTGACGTCGCTCATTCGGACAAGTAGAATGAGAACGGAGCAAGGAATCTACTGGATGGCCATGTAACCCACTCGTTTTAAAACAAAGATAAACGGAAAACATGCACAAAGGCTCACCTGTGACCTGGATATGGACTGTAAAGTGGCTATCCTGTGATTGAGATCAGCCATATCTTCCTTCACGATGTAGGTCAGGCGCTGGATTTCGGAGCTCTGATCGTCAAACAAAGATTGATTGCGAGCAAGGTTATTCAACTGTTCTAATTTGCTGAATGTGCTGGCTAGATCACGTCCAATAGAAGCGGCCATTTGCATGAACTCAGAACGCTGGCGAATGGCTCGCTGACCTGATTGGGCTTCACGCCTAGAAATCGTTTGCGGTACATCAGATTTCGTAGGACGCCATCCGGTGGCTGGAAGTAGACCACTATCTGATTTATCTGTGGGTCGTGAATCGCTATGGCTAGCGAGAAATAAAGGGTTGGTCGTCAAGTCGCCAACGGCACTAGTAGATATAGGGCGGGAAAGTTGTACGGACTGAAGAAACTCTGCCGTTCTGTCGACTGCCGAGCACATCTACAAAGAATGAAGTGGTTTCATTACTCATAAAAATAGGTTGTAATAGTTAACGGTGAAAGTGAAGAAACAATACCGTGTCTCCCCGATACAGTGCCACAAAAAGTTCACGAAACTTCTTCAATACCCTACTGCCGCTTTTGTAACGTCTGACAGGCGTGGTTCCGAAACCCCATCAATCGTGCGTGTACTTGGATACTACTTTGGACATATGTGGATTCAATCATCTTAACGTTGTTCCCAGGCTTGCGATGATCCAGTGGGCTTTCCGGCCAGATGAGTTGAAGAACGTCCCTTAAAATACACTGAAAACCCGACCGTAATAACCGGCGACTTAACCAAAATGATTGAAAGGGTAGACTTTATCAACAGGAAGATGGAGATCAAAACATGTGCGCAGCAGCATCAGGAGGCCATACTTTTTCGTACTATACTTCCTGAGCCATTCTGTTCCGAGTAAGGTGTTCATGGGCATCTGTAGCCAGCCACTAACGTGAGACTTGAAGAGTCAAGTGAAGGGCGGAAGGCGAAACGATAGAAAACTCAAGAAGTGAATTAGATTGGGTGAATTCGGTAGCACTATCGTATGATTTAGTCATTTCTATGACTGTTAATAAAAACCAATTGGACATATCTTTAATTGTCCACACTGGTGGAAGGCACAAACTAACGTGACTGAGACCTTTAATTAGACTTTTATTGATTACTTGCCAAGGCCTGGCCTTACTGACTGCCTTGCATCCCAAACCCGATGGGACACATAGTGGTTGTCTAGGTAAACGCCCTCCTGGTATGGGGGGCGAGATGGCTGTGGTCAGAGCGCGAATTTACTGGCCGGAATGCCCGTGGTTCGAACCCGACCACTGCCTCTCGACTTCCTCTGTCTAGGCTTGGCAGTATCCCAGGCCCTTCCTTCTGGTAGCATGGCAGTTAGGCACCGAAAGGGTGCCACAGCTGAACGATAGGTAAAGTACGGCTGTCAGCAAAATTGATGCAGCTGTATCAAACTCAGTCAAGAGTCAACCAGACGAGTTACCAGATACTACATGCGGTCCACTACCGAAAAGGTGGTGCTCATGTTACATGTTCTTAAAGCCGTAATCACCCAAAAGCATTTGAAGCTCAGTGACCGGCCTATGCAGGTTTGCCAAAGTTTCATGTCGCCACCTATTCTGCACATTGTCGTAGTGGATTTTCCTCATTATTGAGTACCTTCGTGCACTTGATATCCGTCGGGAGCCAGCTTCTGGAAGAATTTCCCCGAAAATGGCCTCTATGAAGGAATTAAATCGCTACGGCTTGTGTACCTCAGTAATCTAGTGACAGGGCCTCTTCGACAGGGTTGGACAACGAAAAGAGATCTGAGGGTCTCCTGGTCCTTCAGGTTAATGATGAGGAAATGTGTGGTAGCTTGCTTCCTAAAATATAAAATACTCTAGTAGCCTCACACCGATAACCTCTGTCTTGCAGTTAGGCTGGTGAGCCAGACTTTAGCTGAGAAAATTACTCATCCTCCTGTCTAGGCTTGGGCGCCCTGGCAATAGCTCGGCCAACATATAACCAAGAACCTTGCAGATCAAATTACTCTGGTGTCGCATCGGCCGTCGCGTAGTAACACCAGCCGTGTCATCCCATATACTGGACAAAGTGGGGCGAATAAAAGAATTCCGACAAATAATGGACTTTATCTTTTCTCTTCATATGTTCCACTTTATNGATGGAGCCTTAAGGAACGGAGCAGAAACTTGACACAACGCAAACGTAACGCTTCGTGTCCGCTATTCAGGATTCGTTCTCTTCTTTCTACTATGATCTGTACAGTGTGAACTCATTGACGGTTGGGCCAATAAGCTGCTCTCGCAAGTGCTCCAAATAACTTATCGATTGGTTTCTGATGCATCTGAAACTTGTACACAAGTATAGTTTCTGAGCTGACGAAATCCTCTCAAGCTGGACACTAACGACGACGAAGTTAGGGTGATCCTACTGCTGATGTTGCGGGTTGCGTTGGTGCTGATAAAGCCATAGGTTTGTTAGCTAACTTCATGACTCGACTAGATGTCTGTAAACAGCCCACTCTATGCTCTCGGACTTTCCATTTCGATAAAAGGTCATACTGGTCGAAATACTGAAGCGTCTTTGTTTGTCTCATTCACTTATACTCCAAAGAATTGTAGCACCGAATCGTTGAAACACACCTATGGAGATCTTGCCTGGATATGAGTTCCACTATGGTGATATCATATCTTGTTCCGCCCTATGCTACATTTAGCCTACCTAGTTTCGTGCATTTGGATCAACGTTTAACATTCGTTTCGGAAAGGATTAGGTGGCCTCTTAATAAAAAAGGCGTTGCCACCAGCTGGGCCACTTCATATAATCCAAAGGGGTAACGGTTAGGTGGAAAGACTAGATAAAACTTTGTGGAAAGCTATTACGCATTCATTGTGATCAACGGGTATCCAAATCAGTCATTTGGAAACCGTTTTATGAGACGCGCTCCATTCGATTCGCTCCTTGTTGCGCATGAACGCCAATGCCGCTCCACACGAACGAGTGTTTCATCATAATCGAAAATCCACAGTCGGCACATCATTGCTTTCGCCCGCACCAGTTCTGATACGGTGAAATACACGATCTTTGAAGTATGACCACACAGTAGACGAGGTTGAGGTCCTGAAGTACAGTCCTGAGCACGTATGTGTCCGACGCGCCAATTGCATGGAAAAGGTCTTCCTACGTCACCTGGCGCCCTCCGCTGATTGTGAATGCGCTCCAGCATCCCAACAGAAGCAATAGCAGCGCAATACTGATTCATTTATTATGATGGACCTATCTGACAACTCTGTTTCGGTAACTGAAATGTCGAATTCTTCTGAACACCCCTACGTCACCTCCCTCCGCTGATTGTGAATGCGCTCCAGCATCCCAACAGAAGCAATAGCAGCGCAATACTGATTCATTTATTATGATGGATGGACCTGACAACTCTGTTTCGGTAACTGAAATGTCGAATTCTTCTGAACACCCGTTGTTTGTATGTTGGGGATATCAATACCCCCCCCAAAAAAAACTCTGTATTTTTATGTATGCTAGCGAACTTCCGGCATCTCCAAGGTCAAACTATGAATATATATATGCATTGTCATTTTCTCCCATGATCGCCTGTTGATCGCGTGTTGTTGGATCATTAAAGTTT